TTTGATAGGTATGTTGCTATCTGTAATCCTTTACAATATGAAATGATAATGAACAAAAAGGCCTGCACCCAAATGGTTGGCAGTGCGTGGATTACCAGCCTCTTCAATGCTGTATTAAACACCACTGGGACTTTTCTTACTCCTTTCTGCTCTAATATTATCAATCAATTTTACTGTGAAATCCCACATTTACTGAAGATTGCCTGTTCAGATTTATATATAACTGAAATTGGAGTTGTAGTATTTAGCATTACATTAGCATTTGGTTGTTTTGTCTTCATTGTTGTTACTTATGTGGAGATCTTCCTTGCTGTCCTGAGAATTCCTTCTGTCCAAGGAAGAAAAAAGGCTTTCTCTACTTGTTTGCCACACCTAATAGTCTTTTCCATTTTTTTGTTTACTGGTTGCTTTGCTTATCTGCGTCCTATATCTGAGAAGCCATCATATGCTGATTTTGCCATTACAGTAATGTATTCAGTTATCCCACCCATGATGAATCCATTAATCTATAGCTTGAGAAACAATGACATTAAGATTGCTCTGTCAAGAATTTTCACTTTGAGGTCACTTATATAAATGGGAAATATTAAGAGTATAAAACTGAAAGTTAGGATAAAATAAACATCATCCCACAACTTCACACCTTATTGTATTAAATTGGAAAAGCTATGATAATACAATTTGACAATAAAGCAAATGAAATATTACTATGTCTCTTCTCCTACATATTACTTAACAAGTAAGAAAACAAAGATAGGAATATACTCTTTCTCCAATGTCAGATAATGCTTTCTTTTTTGATTGATTTCATTCATTTTTAAATTTCATTTTTAATCTCAGAATATATGGGGCAATCAAGGAGCGCTGGTCAGAGATTCTTCAAACAATTGCATATTCTCATTGAATCATGTAGTTGAACATAAAAATAGTAGGGAAAGACATAGCTATTCCAAACAAGTGCCATATAAACAAGTGCCATATATCTATGTTAGAAATCACATTTTCCCCTTCATTGCTAGATATGTATGATTTCACCAGCAATGCAAAATATATTCTGTTGAGTGCTTAGTCACAGGACAGAAATTATATTTCTTTGATCAAGAAATCCACTCTGGGGGCAGAGGAAATACAGGAACATGTCATTTCTTTAGGCAAAATCTCCTTTGCCTGATCCTTCCCCACCATCCTTTGTTCATCATGTCTCCCCAGAAATTAAAAAGTTTTGATCTTAAGTTGATTATTTCATATTAAAGAGTCCAGTGAATTGTTCTCTCTCTCTCTCCCTATTTCTCCTGCTTTGCAATGCTTGTAGACATGTAGGCCCCCTTCAAAGCCAGACAGTAGGTTATCATGTTTTCCATGCTGTAGTAATGTATTTTACATATGGGAATCATTCTTGTTTAAATTTGGTTAAACTTCAATTTTGTATATATCCTGTTAGCTTTACCCTTGTTGCATGTTTTCCACTTTTGAATTCCCAAGCAGATACTGCTGGAATTGCAACACTGAACAACATTTAATGCTTTCTATTGTAAGGATTTGTTGTTGTTTTTAGTTGCAAAGTCATGTTCAACCCATTGTGACCCCATGGACAACATTCCTCCATGCCTTCCTGTCCTCTACTATCCCCCTCCCAGAGTCTATTTAAGCTCATGCCAACTGCTTCAGTGATTTCATCCAGCCACTTTGTTCTCTGCTGTCCCCTTCTTCTTTTGCCCTCAATCGTTCCCAGCATTAGGCTTTTCTCCCTTAGGATATATCTCATTAGAATATTATATTCTTTGATACATTTTTTTCCAAAATTGTATTTAGTGAGAAAAATTGTGGTTTCATTTCAAATTTAATTTCCAAGATTTCTATAGAATACTCTAGATTTCTTTTCAATACTTTTGAGGGCTTTTTCTTTTTACAGATCCACCACATCTGATAGAATGTTGTTTCTGCTTACTACCATATAATTTTTCTATCTTAAATATTATTGATAGAGTTGTATATCAACTGTAGAACATGTATATCAATTTTCCTTTAGATTATATGTATATATTATAGAGATTTAATCTATAGTTCTTTCCAGTTTTGTGTGACATCTGTTTCTTTAAAACGTTGCTTCCATTTTGTCATAAAAATTTTGTTTTGTCCTGTCCTTGTATTATATCTAATTAAAAGTTTATATGTGTGTCCTAGGAGGAGGTGATGGTTTTGTATGAGTATTTCAAAATTTGTTTTTTGCCTTTTAATATCCCCTTTCCTTCTTGAGAGCTGCTGTTATTCTTCCATCTATTTATTATTAAAGCAGCCATCTTTTACAAAGTAGTTTCCTTGCTGTATTTTGCCTTATAGAATTCAATTGAACTATATCTGCATATGTAACTATAACTATCTTCATATAATTATCTCCAACATGAGATGTATATGATGAAGAAGCTAGATATGATTTCTAGTTTTTTAAACTGATATATATTTATAACAGTGGTGGTATTCATTTTTTTTTTTTTACTATTGGTTCTGTGGGCGTGGCTTGGTGGGCATGGCAGGGAAAGGATACTGTAAAATCTCCAGTTAGAGATGGTATTTGCCGGTTCTCCAAACTACTCAAAATTTCCGCTACCAGTTCTCCAGAACTGGTTACAATCTGCTGAATACCACCTCTGATTTATAATCTGATTATTAAGTAATTATTCATATTTTGGACAACTGTAATTTCCAAAACATGTCATTTTTTATTTTTTATTTTGAACTGTAAGCCAGTCTTTCCTTTTGTATGTCTTTATCTCATTTTGTTTAAACTCTTGGCTACTTCATTAAAAAAAATGAAGAAAAGTACCAAACCTGTCCTTAAATCCAGTGACTAAAAAGAATTACAGAGGTGATCTTAGACTATTCCTAGCATTATTTTTCACATTTTATAGTTATAAAGCCTCAAGAAGAACATTGACTTTGTTTGACATGGCACTGACTCTTCAGCCTCTTATAATCTGATAGTCACAGGGGGTTGTGGGGTACAAGTAGTTACTACTAAGTACAATGAAGACAGGACAACTTTGGTGTAGCGGTTAATACATCAGGCTAGAAATGGGGAGACCAGGAGTTCTGTCTCAAGCACAAAGCCAATTGAGTGACCTTGGACCAGTCACTCTCTCTCAGCCCTAGGAAGTAGACAGTGACAAACTACTTTTGAAAAAGCTTGCAAAGAAAAATGCAGGAACTCTGATAATTTGACATTATAAAATAAAAGGGGGAAAAGTAGCAGAGGCTGTAAATACCATATTAGATATTCACTCTGTGCACCCTCTTCTTTCATTTTGTTGGCTTTTTGTCTATGAGATTGCCAATTTGCTCAGAACCTTACTTTCTATGATCTTCAAAAAAAAAAATTATTTATTACGTTTGTCATTAGCTAAGATATTGTATTGCCTATTGTTGCTAAGAAATAAGGGTTCTATCCTAAAATCTTTTGGACTGGCAAGATGGAAGGTGATTCTCAGAATAATCCCTTGCACTTATAATTAAATAAAATATGCCAAGTAATTCTTCATTATGTTTTATGTATATTTTTTCAAATACAATCTCCATAAAATATTCTGGGCTAGCTCTGCATTAGGGAACCTACTATTACAAATATAAGGATAAATCTTTAGACTAAAGTATATAAAATATATATTCCCAGCTTGTCTAACACAAACTGTGACAATGTAAAAAGTTTTTGAAAAAAACTTGTATGTTAGCTCAAGTTCAGTCTCTTAAGTACTTGCGTACGATATCATGATTCAAGTACAAAAGAATAAAGTTTGTATTGTCACATCATAATGCACTTTTTTTCATTTCTCCCTAGTTCCCATTTTTTGATGCCCATGACTATTTCTTTCAAAACCAACCAATGCAGATCAAATATCAAAAAGATCAGTGGATAATTCTATTGTAATATAAATGATTTAAAGTCAGAGAGTTTAATGGGTTTCTATTCTGAAATGAGAGTGTATCCTTTTAAAAAATGTTAGTGGATAGAATTTGGGGGCAGAAACCTTATAATATGTATTACCTGAATTTTTAGAATAACATATGGTACCTTCTCTTAAAATTGGAAAGCCTGATGAAAGCTGAGCATCGAGATTTTCTGAATTTTTCACTGTTAGTGCTTTTGCTATAAAATACAATAATATTCTAAAGCAATATATCCATCATCCTCACTGTTACATTCTCTATCAATAATAGCTTTCAAATAAAAAACTTGATAATTTTTAAAAAATTAAAAATGTGAGGTTTACCGATTACAGTGAAAAAGACCTGGCTATGTGCTAATCCAATCTGGATGATGTACGATGTATGACTAATATATTAAACGACTAATACATCAGACATTAGTCATATATATGATGTATGACTAATCCAATCTTGATGATGTATTCAGAGAACAGTGTTTTCCTCTGAATAGCTTTGAGAGAGTTTTTTTAATGGCTTCCTTTCTCATGCTGTAAATCAGGGGTCCCCAACCACCGGGCCGCGGACCGGTACCGGTCCGTCGAACATTTCCTACCGGGCCGCCGGTTTGCTGGGCACCGCCATCTTGTTTTGATGAGAAAGTGCTTCCGGGTGAGCTTTTCCGGTTGGAAAGCGGCGTTTGGGTCCTGAAGGAATCCTCGCGCCTTAGTTTCATTGAAGGGGGGGGCTTCGAACGAAACTAAGGCGTGGGGATTCTTTCAGCACCCAAGGCAAGGTGAGCCAAACGACCATCCTGAAGCCATCCTGAAGCGAAGCCCATCGACAAAGGTACAAAGGAGGAGTTGAAGGTGGCAGGGAGAAGCGGGGGACAGCTGGCTGGCCGGTTGCTCGGCTCGCCTTGCCTTGTCATGCATGCTGATGCTGGTACCGGGCCGTGGATCATTTTGTGATGCTGGTACTGGGCCGTGGCACAAAGAAGGTTGGGGGCCACTGCTGTAAATAATTGGATTCAGCAGAGGAGGAAGCATTGAATATATCATTGTAAAAATCAAGTCCAGATATTATGGAGTGTCAGAGGTTGGTCGCAAATAAGCAATACTTCCTGTAAGTAAAAACATGGAAAATACAATGATGTGGGGAAGACAAGTTGCAAATGCTTTTTGCCTTCCCTGCCTGGAAGATATTTGAAGGAGTGTCATGAAGATATGTACATAAGACACAATAATGAAGCAGCAGCAACCTACTCCAATGGCAACACTTACAATTACAACTCTAATTTCTATTAAGTATAACTCAGAGCAGGCAAGTTTAAGTAACTGGGGGATCTCACAGAAAAATTGATTTACCACATTAGAGCAGAAAGGGGTCAAAAAAGTCCCACTGGTATGTAAAACCCCACAAGTCAGTCCAGCAAGCCATACCATAGCAACCATTTGGGTGCATGCTTGCTTGTTTATCACCATTACATAGTGCAGTGGATTACAGATGGCAATATACCAATATACCATATGGTCATATGCCATAACTGTGAGAAGAAAAAAATCTGATGATATAAAAAAGAAAAACAAAAGAACCTGAGCAACATATCCAAAATAAGAAATGTCCCTGGTATTCAGGAGGGAATTGATCATAGATTTGGGAAGAATCACTGAAACAGAGCACAAATCCTGTACAGCCAAGTTCATCAGGAAGAAATACAATGGTGTATGAAGATGGTGGTCAAATGCTACTGCAGAGATGATTAAAATGTTCCCTGTAACAATTGTTAAATATAATAACAGGAACACAATAAAATGAAGAATCTGCAGTTCCCAGGTCTCTGCGAATTCTAGAAATACGAATGTAGATACAGATGTGTTCTGAAACATTTTGTGCACAGCAATAATTTCACAGTGCCTAGAGAAATAAACAGATTGAAAATGACTTGAGTAGCTTAAAATAACTTACAACTAAAAGTATTACAACTTATATGTGCTCATATAATCATTTAGAGAGTCAATGGAGCTCCATATTTTCCATTCGTTGTTTATCCTTTCTAGACATAGTGGAAGAACTGGTTTCATAGAGACAAACTTTCTCTCATTTTAATTGTTCTGCCCCTCCTGTTCCCACCAAAATATCTCCCACTGAATATTGATTACAAAAGTAACTTCAATAGAGTAGAATAGAATAGAATGGTTAGAAGGGACCTTGGAGATCTTCTAGTCCAAACTCCTGCCTAGGCAGGAAACCCTATATCATTTCAGACAAATCTCTGTCCAATCTCTTCTGAAAAATTTGGAGTGTTGGAGCATTTACAACTTCTGGAGGTAAATAGTTCCACTGAATAATTGTTCTAACTCTCAGGAAATTTCTCCTTAGTTCTAAGTAGTTCTTAGATCTAAATAGAATGATTCTAGAACATACCAGAGAATTTGGGAGGTGATAAAAGTAGAAATGGAAGCAGATTGTCTCTCAAAAGCCCTCAAATTTCATTACTGCTTTTTAGAAATAAAATAAAATAAAGCCATGCAATCATAACCACAGAATTTTGGAAATGACATTTTGGCTTCGTATGAGGCCACAACTGGAATGTTAGAAAACTATGTATGGAACTCTAGAAATCCCCATCTCCCAAGGTAAAACATTTTAAGTAAATAAGGTGAAACACCATCAATACAAATACCAAAATGATTCTGGAAAAGATGATCCTGAAAGCAAGGCTTCACATCATCAGTGTTTTTTTTTCTTCTTATTAGAGAAATCTCTTTAATCACTACTATAGGAAGATTTTAAAGACCAGATTATCACAGAAAAAAAAAAAACTATCAATGTAGTTGCTAACAGCTGAAGGCAGTAAATCAATGACAATTCTTTAATCCCTACCCATTCTCGTGGAACTGTCTAGTGGCAGGACCTACAGTATATCTCTGTCAGAATCACTGATCAGCCATTAATGATGAGATATATAGTTTCATTCATCAAATTAAAAATATTTAAAACAGTACTACATTTGTTCCCATGTGCTCTAAACCACTTTAGAGTGGCAGGGCCAGTCAGAGGTAGTATTCCGAATTACTCAAAATTTATGCTACTGGTTCTTCGAACTACTCAAAATTTCCACCACCCATTCTCCAGAACTGGTCAGAACCTACTGAATACCATCTCTGCTGTACATTCTTAGCTAGCTGGTTATTCCAAAAGAATAGTGGCTCAGAATGATTTTTTTTAATGCACTCAAGCATTTTGTAGTTATCACCTGATTCTTTCTTTGATTAAGTTCAGTGCATCTGAGTTAATGAAAAGAATAACATTTCTCACCTCTGGAATCTGGGTAAGATTGTCGTATTTTTATTTTCAACCCATAGATATCACTTATATATTTATTTTCCAGATAGATAGATAGATAGATAGATAGATAGATAGATAGATAGATAGATAGATAGATAGATAGATAGATAGATAGATAGATAAGTTTAGATAAATATTTCTCTGGAATTAAAATGTACTTTCTCTACATCAAATCATGAAACTGAACTGGTTTTAATTGATCAGGGAAATTCAAGGAAAGTTTTAAGAGCTGAGAAATAACAGATATCATAGCTGTAATATCCTATGTACCATTTGGTGAAAATACAAGTCTTTTGTTTTAGCCTGCAACATCAAAAAAAGAAATGACATTCTTCTGCTATAGAGAAGACATTAAAAGAAGGTTGATGATTGGTGTGTTCTCACCCTACTTGGATAGGCACGGCCCAATATTATGTGGACTGAAATGATAAACGTGGATCCATCATTAAAGAATTAAAGCTATTGGAGTTTGTTACTGGTATCAAAGTATATAACAATCACTGAGTCTGGATTCAAGAACATGCCAACAGGTCTAAACATTCCACAAACAATATTATATACAAATGGCAGGATTCAATCTTTATATAATAGTACAAAATGTACAAATTTGATGTATGGATGTACATCAGTTTTCTAAAAGGGTTAAACATCAGATTAGAAACCAGGAGACCATGGGTACTAGTCCTATCCTAGGCACAAAGCCAGATGGGTGATCTTGGGCTAGTCACTTTAACCCCCGGGAAAGAGGCAATGGCAAATCAGTTCTGAAAAAAAAAGTTGCCATACTTGCAGATACTTGTTTCCGTAAATCAGACACAAGTGATTGGGGGGGGGGGGAGAGAAGAATGGTCACAAAGATGTCATGAATAATTAATTTATAGCCTTAAATTGAAGGGGTTTTTCTAGGTAAGATAGAAAGATAACTCTTAGACTGGAGATCCTGATGTGTTGAAATCATCACTCTAAAACTCCAACAGCCACATTAATAGATCAGTAATTACAATAGCATCAATATTCTGTACTTGAATCATATCAATAAGATGAGCTTTCTATTGCTTTTCTCCCAGGAAATAACATGTGCAGTGCTTGTTATTTGTCTTCTGGAACATTTACCAAGGACCACAGATTTGAGAAAAAAACACTGCATAACAAAATACAATAGGGCTCTCCAATACTAAAGGTTATAAAATTTTAAAAAGAGCAAGATGATACTCTGTCAAATTCATCATATATAAAATAAATTTAAATCTTTATAACTATGTCTTAACCATTATCATGTAATTTTCCACACAGAAAGGATTGGCTATACAGGTAACAATCTTTATTCCAACTGATGCACACAGTCAAGACGTGATCAAACAACTTTTTTTTTTTTCAAATTTCAGCTTCAAGATGCTGGAAAAAAATAATTTCACTATAAAAAACTGGAATCTTCTGTCCTTAACATAAATTACTTCTGGTGCTAATTCACAATGTTATTCAGTTTGTGATCAGCATTTCATTTCATGTGATATAGAAGGTTAATTTTATTTCTATCTGTAAACTGAATCTAGAGAAACATCAATATAGAATTTCTTTCTGTTCTCTGCCATTTCAGTGTTTATAAGGTAAACACACTATAATAACATAAAACTCAAAATATTATATAAAAATAATATATTGCATGGAATGATATACTGTATTATACCTTTCATTAGCCTGCAATAATTATAATAATTTTTATTTATATAATAATTGAATACATAATTTTAATTGAATAAAGAAAAATAAACTCAGCTTAAGATAAAATATATTCATAATGTAGCTTTAAAGTGCTTAATATCTAACTAATTAAAAGATATAAAACTATTCCTAGAGGAATAATTAATGTTAATTTTCAGAAGTTCTCAAATACTTGGAAAACTGGATAATTAACTTTCATTATAATAATTGGAAAGCAAGGTATTTCCAAGGACCTATGTGCTTTGTTCACTCTATTTCTCTTTAGAAAAACTAATTTATTTCTGCTTAAGATAACTTTTTTTGCATTAATATATTTGAAGATAATAATTAAAGAAGATAAAAATACACATCTATGTTATGTTAATGTTTACTGAACTGACCTAGGAATATTTAAACATTTCTCAAATAAATAGATGAGGGGAAAAAATCTCTTATACTTTGATGTCATTCTCCCAAAAGATTAATTAAAAGTTTGAAGACAGCAATACAGTTATATCCCTGTATGTATATAAATAAAAACTAAAATTTAAACGGTTTTTATTTTTCTTGAATATATAAAAAATAATTATTTTTTAAAATGTTATTGATGTTTGTTGTATTCACTGAGAGGGGTAAGGAGATGAACAGAATCACATGCAAGAACACATACCATAACAATAAAATCTAAATTCCATAAATTCTATGGAAAGTCATTTAACATGTTGTCACATCTCAAGTCAGTAATTGTTCCAATTAGTGCTGTGAATAATAATCCAAGTATTTCAGGTAATTTTGGCACAAGATGGAAATTCCAAAGACAAGAAACTGTCTTAATGAGTTATATTGATGTATGAAAATGATTTAGAGTTTGTTCTGTGTGAAAACAGATGAAGGCTGATTAAGAAGCTTTAAGAAGCTTAAATTAGAAGCTTTTGAAGTTTTGTATTACAGGAAATTTTTCTTATGATGCTGCTAGTGAACAGGGAACATGGAAAGTATGCAAAATATGTTTCTGAATATATATGCAGACATATAAAATGAAATATGCACAAAAAGGGAAAAAATACAAATCTCCATATAAGAAATACCATAGGTGCATTTTCTGATTAATAATAATGTGTCTGATATTGACATTAAGACAAAATGGGGAACATTAGGAAAGGATCCTGAACAAGCTGACTCAAGTTAATTTCTATGAAGCACTTCACCTCTCTTCAGCTCCTCCTGATTATCTCTCATTGCAAAGATCAGTGGAAAAAAATCAAGTTTGTGCAGGTTTAGAAGGGCTGGGGAATGTTAAGAGGATCTTAACATTCCCCAGCCCTTTTACATGCCTCAAAGACTTGCAATTCTCCAGTTGGAGGAAAACTTTTCTATAGGCAAGCTGAAGCATTTTTCAAATTTTGTAAGTGCTAGAGATATTGAAGAGGGTCTGAAATAATTCATAGCCTATGAGGCAAATAAGTAGACCTCAAGAGCATGTCCATTTTGGTCATTATTCATGAAGGTCATAAAGCAGGTCAGTAAAAATCCAATTTTTTAATTTGTTTGCAGAGGTCATTAAGCAAATGTTGTGGTCATAAAGTGACTACCATCATAGTTAAATGAATTATCACAGTTGTTAAATAAACCAATGATTATGAAGCCAGTTATGCCCCAGACTGGAAGTAATTCGGTTTTCAGCATCATTATTGTAAAAAAGAAACTATGATCACGGGACCACTAGATCCTGCAAATAAACATAAATGCACCCCAGTTGTCAAGTCCCTGTAATGTAGTCATGTGATTACAGAGGGGCAACTGTCAGAATTTTGAATTTTGGTCATCAATAGTTTTC